ACGCTATGGTGCATCACCTGTACGGTCGCGAGGAAGGGCTTCAAGTCGATAGCGTGCTTGGTGAGGCATTAAGTTTGGCGTTTGGCAATTCTAAAATAATGTGTGTCTTCGCATAGGAGCGACTGTGGGGTTGATGCGGACAAAGCAATGACGCGAAATTGACAGACACGTGACAAAAAGACTAGGCGGTGGGTATACGCTGGATTGTGAACCGCTCTTTGAAATGTAGCCTTATGCCGAAGCGGTGTGAGAAAACAGAGAACGCTATGTCTCGCTTAACTACGTTTAACACGTACGTAGTGAGCTATATATGTATATATAATGAGTGTATGCACAATGTCTTTTTTGCGAATTAAAGAAACAACATAACAATTAGAGTGTACATTACTCTAAATGTTTGTGATCAGTATCCATGCATACATATCAAACTGAGGCTAACGAAAATTGGCAGATCCCACGTACAGTGAGAATCGATTGATATGCGAAGCGCAAATGAGGAAGCTTGCTATGTCACTTTAAAATCAGCACAACGTTACGAGGCGGACGTTAATTATGCCGTACATGACTTCCATGTGAAGATTATCATGTTTGGACGTGTCATTTAGCTTTGTCGGTTATATACGTCACGTTATACCAAATTTGGTATATGTGGAGCTAGAAAAACGGCCGCGAGCGTGCTATAAGCGTAGTATATAGTAATGTTTTAAATGACACGCATATGATGATTATCCTGTTTGGACGTGTCCTTTACTTTCGTAGTCTATTCACGTTACGTGATGCCAAATTTAGTATACGTAGAGCTAGCAAAACGGCCGCGAGCACGCTATCAGCGTAGCATATATTCATATTTTACATGACACGCATGCCATGATTATCAAGTTTGAGCATGCCATTTCTCTTCGTCATCCAGTCACGTCGCGTATTACGAAATTTGTAAAGCATACGTGAATGAAGCTAGCGAAACGACCGCGAGCGCACTATGAGTGTGTTGTGTAGTCATGTCTTACGTGACATTCATGTCATGATTTCCACGTTAGGGTCTGTCACTTGTGTTCTCCATGCACTCATGTCATATCATACCTGTTTTGCAATGTCATGTGAACGAAACCACCACATGAGCAGGAAGACCATGAAATATAAATCATGACATTGATGGCATACATTTCATGATTTTCATGTTACGACTAGTCACGTATGCTCGTCATACAGTCATGTTATGCCATACCAATTTTAGTATAGATCCCATTATCGAAATGGCCAGGAGAGCAAGAAGTAGTAGGCGGCTGGATAGATATTATATAGACAAATACGACTGAATAGATAGATAGATAGATAGATAGATAGATAGATAGATAGATAGATAGATAGATAGATAGATAGATAGATAGATAGATAGATAGATAGATAGATAGATAGATAGATGCGCTCAAAATCGCCGAAATTTTCCAATAAATGCTTCGCATTTAAAAGAGCTTGAAGAGACAATATTATTGACAGCTTTATGACCCTTGGTAACGATAAGAGCTAAAGCGTCTTCTATATTTTTCGGTGCTGTGTACGTATACATATATTTTTCTTCATCTTAAGGTATGTGCGGTGTTCACAAAATAACTAATGACCCAACAAAATGTTGTACACAGGACTTGCACTTCACTGTCGGTAGGTTCGTGTTGTGTAAGGGATGCACAAATGTCCAAGTAGGAACGCAAAAACTCACTCAGCTTTCAATTCCACCCCCTTTTCTTTCCCCAAAAATATATCTGCGATGCGTATTACCATAACGAAGTGACCTTTTTTAGCATTGGGTTCGATCGTGGATAAATATGCAGGCGCTCATGCAGTACCGGTATGCTCATGACAGCACAACTCACGCGTAACTACGTTGTACCAAAACTCGCACTACTATTGATAAGGAATCATCTAATGAATGGGTCACATTGACGTTACCTACAGGAAACAGGGCACCAAGGAGGTTCGTTCTTTTTTTTTTCACTGTTATGCATCTCGTACGCATCGTGCAGACCCACACCTACCAATAATAAATTAGTTCGAGTAATCACAAGTAATGACAGCCGCTCAAAACTATGACGTATATTTATCACGTTTTAAATAAACACGCATCTTCCGCAACCTGCTATTTCCTAACTTCGTAATTACCACGTTATTTTTGTCGCAATGAGCCACGAAAGTGGCAGCTGTACAAAAAACTTCTTTACTTCTGCGTCACTGTCCTCTGCTCCCGCCAGCACTGCAGAAGAATGATACGAAATAACGCTGCTTCTTATCAAGAAAAAAGCAATAACAAGAACCGTTACGCGCCAATGGGGGCAATCAGCCTACGCAAAACTCCTAGAAAACCCCAAGAGATCACTGTCGTCAGAACTTTCTTGTCTTTGTTCTCGGCGCCTTATCGAAATGGGGCTCCTCCACTCACCGCGGGGAAGCATCAAATAAAGAACCTCGGTGTACTAGTCACCTAGAGACATTTTAACAACGCCTGGATGAGCACACAGTCACGCACTTTCTTACGGGATGCAGCGGGAAATCACAGTCAGTTCTTCTTTCACCTTTACGGTGTGGCTCCTTTAGGTTAGTGGATTCATACAGTGGCTTTTTGTCTCGCTTGCTTTACTTCATTCACTTTTCAAAAATCTCAATTACTTAAATAACATCACTTCAGTCAGAATAATGGTTTTCTACCACTTACAACAAAAAAGGATGACAACGACATATTTTTGTCCACCAAATCAAGCATTTGAGTTAACACCTTCGCACATGTACATTCAAGTCAGCATGTGAATGCAAGACTACTCAAACAATTAGTAACATTCTCATTACGTGGTTCTGCGTTTTCGAAATATCCATGGGGATGGAAACCATTCGCAAAATCCTCCAAGTGACTCCACATTTGACGTGTGCACTCCTTGGTGTAGCCTCTATGACCTAAACGTATGGCTTGAAATGAAGGCGTATGACCTTCAGGCTCCTCCAATTTGGTTGTTGTAACATGATCGGGGCTTTTCCCCGGCACCTCTGTTGTATTAAGATTGCCTTCGCAACAACACGCCTCAGACAGACCGCTTTGTGCTCTGGTGGGGCGATTGCGCCACCGCCAGAGTTAGACTGCAGTCCTAGCCACGCTTATTCAACACAAATTATACACCCAATTGGAAGCTGTTGATATATGCTAATGGAAACTTTGAAATATAAAGCACGTAACTGGTTATTTACGATTTCTCCTTTAATATCTTATTTAGAAAGCGCTCTACAGCTTACTGCTAAGCAAGCAATTTATTTCGCGAATACCTTGTGAACCCATTACACGTTAAAGAACACCAGATGGTCAGAATTTCCGGTGCCCTCCACTACGGTATCTCTCACAATCATGTCGTGGCCTTTATACGTTAAACCTCATATATATTTATAACAAATACGTTGCGCAACGAATTTTCGCTCCAGCAGGTATTTCATCTGGAGCGATGCAAGTGCAGAAAGCCTTGCAGAGGTTCTTGTCCTGTTTAAATATTAGAAGTATGTCAAAGAAGAAAGAAATACGCTCTACACGTGCAAAAAGATCTCGTCCAGCAGACCACTGCACTCTTGCAGTCCGTCATTATTGAGCGTTCTCACGATAGCTCTATCTGGGAGCGCATAAGCTAGGATTCAGTAAATGTCGTGTCAAAATGCCAAATTTCGAGACAATTCATCATCCTTTACATACACTGTTTAATAAAGCAGAAATCTTATTGTTTATACTTAACCTCTTGTCGTGACACGTCTTTCATACTTTTCAATTAGGGCCTTCTTTCTTGAGGGCCTGCGATATTTAGTTATTTCGAAGCCACCCAGCCGTTCATACCCATATCATCGGGCTATTATGTGTATGCGAGATCCACTTGCGATGAACGGTCACCTCTAATTCCAGCAGTCAAATCTCCCAACTGATGCACACTATCCTGAAGTGGCATATAGTTTCAGTGAAAGCTTGAACACCGAACTACACAGATAAAGGCGATTTCGTAGGCTTCTCTCCAGTTGAGAAGCAAATAACATTTCCAGAGGAATACCAGCCAACGTATTCAGGTAAAGTAATGACTTATGTCTACATGAATGAGAAATTCCACCATTTCAGGCCCAACTCAAACCCATCCTCAAGGGTAACTGGGTGTCCCCAGGGAAATACAGTGTTCATAACGCCTCCTGTTCAACTCGTGGGGTCACACGTGTTTTGACTTTCGAGCCGTGCGCGTAGTCCGTTGTGATGCACAGTAGGAAGGGCACCTGCAGACCGGTTCCCGTTTCCAGGTGCAGCCTGAATGCACCATGACCCCACAAGAAGTCGCATGTTTAAGTGACCTCAAACTGTCGCGAAACCTCGTGATTTATAATTTTAAAGTAATTATACATATTAATACTTCATTGAATATGCTGGAACGTGTCTCTTATTAAATAGAACTATGCCAGTGTAGTAACTTGAATTCCTTCCTTCCTTCTTTCTTTCTTTCTCTCTGTGGCGCGATGCTAAAATTGCGGAAGGGGACGCAGCTAAAGATAAGCATCGCCTGAATGGGCCGCTCCAACCATATAGTAGCCGCAGAATGACGTTAGTAACAAAAGCCTGAAAGAACGCATGAAAATCAATAGGTTGAGATTTTCTGGGTAATAAATGTTATCCAAACGCCACTTGACTTGACAAATCAGTCATACTGACGTGATTCATCGACGTGAACCAACCTGTCGCGAACTCGCTACGCAAGCGGCGAGCTCGCAACAGTAATCAGCGAATGCCAGCCGTAGCTCAGAGCACTAGCGAAAATGTTTTATTACTGCTTCCTGCAGTCATGTTGTGCACTTTCGTATATCATGTACTAACTTTCTTTAAGACCAATTAACTCGTTGCACGTTTATTTGCAAATTGCCGTAATGCGAACGTGGTCGTGTTGGGACGTAGGTCTGACTGAAGGGTTTGTCAGTAGTGCCTTCGATCTTTTTTGCGTCAGGTCACCGAAGGGAGCACATCCACAGAGGTAGTCAGCAGCTCCTCTTCCGGAACGCCGGCGCCTTCGACGCTGCCGGACGATAGGTCGTCGCAAATGACAACTCCCCAGTCGACACGGAGGGCAACCCTACAAGTGAGCCTGGGAGACACCGACCCACCTGGGCTACTTCTTCCATTTCCACTGCCGCCACCAAATCGAACCGAACCGTGGTTCAAGAATCAAGGTAAGCCAGCGTCGTCAGAGAAAGCCCGTGAGTCGCAAAAGTGCCTTGTTAGCTGTTTTTGACCAAAACTCTGCTGAGCATAGAAGGAGAGAGGTAGATTTCATCGAAACGACATCAAGGAAATTTCTTCAGTCAGAAGAATTCCTAGTCTGGAGTATCTGAGCCTGTATTCACAAAAACATTGATCGCTAACAATGTTCGTGTGAGAATGTTCCAGCTTTACACGATGCGAGAAACATTATTATCCATGCCGGCTTATATGTGGGAAAGTGCGTTTACAAATATAAGCTGTATGATTAACATGCGAGGTTTAACGTCCCAAAACCACCATATGATTATGAGAGACGCCGTAGTGGAGGGCTCCGGAAATTTCGACCACCTGGGGTTCTTTAACATGCACCCAAATCTGAGCCCATGGGCCTACAACATTTCCGCCTCCGTCGGAAATGCAGCCGCCGCAGCTGGAATTCGATCCCGCAACCTGCGGGTCAGCAGCCGAGTACCTTAGCCACTAGACCACACGGCGGGGCGATAAGCTGTATGAATTTGGCCCCTTGTACTCCTATGGTTTATCCAGAGTGCACCACGGGTCTTCCAAGAAGTACTGCGTAACTGTGGTACAGAGCAATGAGTAACAAAAAAAAACTATGCGTAGGCTATGTACACAAAAGTACAATAAAGGCCAAAAGAAATGAATTGGTATCCAACTGGAAAGTGTTAAACTATATTAGAAGTTCTAGCTAGTCCACAAGTATATTTTCAGCCAGTGCAGTAAAACGTCTGTTTAGTTATCCATTAAAATTATTTTGGTCAAGGTTTGTTAAAGTTGCTTCAGGAAAATCATTCCATAGTGCAATGACGTGTGGTATCACCGATTAATCAAAATATTTATTCTCTCCCGCTTGATAAACCGACGTCAAATAGCTTCGAGGTCTCTCTGAAAGCCGCCTAGCTCCCCAAACAATAAGGGCTGAGGAGGCATCAGCGAAATAATGTGCAACATTATAAAAACATGGAGCAGCCCCGAAAGTAATACTCAGCAGAAATGCAAGATTTTGTATTGCCTTCAGCTAAGTTACTGTATACTGTAATTTCCCAGACAGATCCATGAACATTACCTTTCACCTGTTGTTTTTAAACTTGTGGCTGGAACGTGTGACAAAATGTTCTAATATAAGCTCCGAGTGTAATCTGAACTTTTAAAATCAAAGCGACAATCCAGACAAGTTTGTAAATAAACATTCGAATCGTGTGGTACAAATCAGCCGCTAAACACGGCTGCGTGAAAGAGGAGGATGAAGTCAGTTTTTCGTTGGATGCTGGTCTGGCGCCATTTTGCTCGTCTAATTCTGTGCGCTGTAAATAGATCATTAAACAAGTTACTCGTAACATTATTGGTGGAGGTGGACGACCCCCGTACCTCGATGGAGACGCGCAGCGGTCGCACCATCGGCGACCTTTCGACTGCTTCGACTGCTGGTACTTCCTCTACGCCATCCTCATCAGTCCAAGCCACCACCTACGTCACACTCCCGCACCTCCGGGATCCCGGCACTTTCTCCGGTGATGGTACGATCGATCTCGACACTTGGCTGAAGCGGTATGAGCGCGTCAGTGCAACTCACCGCTGGGATCCCATGCTCATGCTCGCCAACGTGCTTTTCTACCTAGACGGCACTCCCCGAACATGATTTGAAAGCCACGAAGCCGACATAACGAGCTGGGATCTCTTCAAAGAAAAGATACTTGACCTGTTTGGCGATTCATCTGGTCGTCAGCTCGCTGCGAAGAAGACTCTTGCCACACGGGCCCAGTCTTCTACCGAATCGTACGTCTCCTACATTCTTGACGTTTTGGCCCTTTGTTCCAAGGCCGACCAGTCTATGTCGGAAGACGAAAAGGTTGACCACGTCTTGAAAGGCATTGCCGACGATGCTTTCAACCTGCTGGTTTTTAACAACGTCTCGAGCATCGACACCATCCTTAAAGAATGCCGACGTCTCGAACAAGCTAAAGCCCGCCGCGTAGCCCAAAGCATCGTCCGCCTTCCGAACGCAGCGGCTACTTCTTCGTGTGACGACGCCTTCCACCAGGCCCCTCGATGTGACACCTCACACGCATCATTCGTCGAGAGGTCGAGGAAGCACAACCGGTAGCCACGCCACTACCGACGCCTGCGCCTTCCCCGACCACGATTTCTTTGATACAAGCCGTCGTTCGTCAAGAGCTATCGAATGTCGGCCTACATCCTGTTCCTGCCGTGTACTCTGCTGCGCCTTCTTTTCGTCCCCCTACTGCTCCTCGCATACAACGCAATCCGTCCGAATGGCGTACCCTTGATGACAGGCCCATATGTTTCAACTGTCGACGCGTTGGTCATATCGCACGTCACTGCCGCAGCCGCTGGGCTCCACCGTCCCATTGTGCACATCAGTATCACACCACTTCTGCTCGCCAATCGTCCCCATCACTTTCTCCATCAACGCCGACCACATTTTCCGCTCCTACAGCACCTCTGAACAGACCTCGCTACGACCGGTCACCGTCCCCTGCTCGTCGTCAGTCCCGGTCGCCCCCACAACGCCGTGCTGCCTCCCCAACCTATTCGCAGCATCTCCGACCGGAAAACTAGGCCGTGCAGCTTCTGGAGGTGGAGCTGCGTTGACGACCTTCGTAAGAAATCCTCGATTAACGTTAACAACGAAGCGGAACCTTTTGGACGTTACTGTCGACAATGTTCGTGTCAGTGCATTGATAGATACTGACGGGCATGTGTCCATTATGAGTGCTAACCTTCGCCGCCGAGTTAGAAAAGTTGTCACGCCCACCCTCAACCGAGCTGTACGAGTCGCCGACGGAGGAACTGCCGCAATTCTTGGCATGTACTCTGCGCGAGTGTCTATTGGGGAGAGAAGCACTGTCGTTCTTTTCGCCGTTATCGAACATTGCCCTTATGAACAAATTCTCGGTATGGATTTTCCAGCCACGCACTCTGCCCACATCGACTGTTCCGCTGGCTCTCTGCATCTCGATTTACCCCTCTTTTCCGACCCGCCTAGCGCACCACAAACCAGCCTCTGCTGCATTGATTTCACGCGCCTCCCTCCTAACTCTGTCACACATGTCGACTTATCCTCCATGCCGCCAGTACCTGATGGTGATTACATGGTGGCCCCGATTCCTGCAGTGATGCTTACGCATGGGGTCGCTGTGCCGCATATGATTCTGACGATTAAGAGAAACCGCACCTTCCTTCCACTGGTCATTTTTTCACTCACCACCCAAGTTCTGCCACAGGGTATCTCCCTGGTCAAAATTACTGCTCTCGAAGATGACCGTGTCGAGCCCTTCAGAGTTGACGATTCCTGCAGCTCAGTCAGTGATTCCACTCCATCACGTTCTTGGGACACCGACATCGAGCAAATGGTGTCATCGGACTTCACGTCTGCGCAAGCTGCAGCGCTTTGCCACGTTCTTGAGAGCTATCGTAGCATTTTCGACTTTGACAGCAACTCTTTAGGCCAAACGACCATTGTCACCCATCGCATAAATACTGGCCATGCAACCCCCATTCACCGACGCCCCTACCGTGTGTCTGCGTCGGAGCGTGCAATATTAAATTATGAAGTCGGCAAAATGCTTGCGAAAAACATTATCGAGCCTTCATGCAGCCCCTGGACTTCTCCAGTCGTCCTTGTTAAAAAGAAAAATGGAACATGGCGCTTTTGTGTCGATTACCGTCACCTTAACAAAGTTACTGCCAAAAAAGACGTTTATCCTTTACCTCGCATCGACGACGCCCTCGACTGCCTGTACGGTGCCACTTATTTTTCAACTATTGACCTTCGGTCAGGGTATTTGCAGATAGCCGTCGACGATATGGGCCGCGAGAAGACCGCATTCATCACTCCTGATGGTCTTTATCAGTTTAAGGTGATGCCCTTTGGACTCTGCAATGCACCAGCCACATTTGAAAGAATGATGGACTCATTGCTCCAAAGGTTGAAATGGTCCACCTGCTTGTGTTACCTTGACGATGTTATTGTCTTTTCGCCCACATTCGACTCGCATCTTGATCGTTTGTCAGCTATTTTGGACGTTTTTCGTCGAGCCGAACTCCAGCTTAACGCCTCCAAGTGCCGCTTCACTCGTCGTCAAATTTCCGTGCTCGGTCACCTTTTCGATGCCCAAGGCGTGCGTCCAGACCCAGAGAAAATTCGCGCAGTCACGAACTTTCCCGTTCCGAAGACCACAAAGGATGTCCACAGTTTTGTGGGGTTGTGCTCATACATCGGACGCTTTGTTAAGGACTTTGCGACAATTGCATGCCCACTCACAGACCTCTTAGAGAAAGACGCCTTGTTTACCGGGGCCATGACCAAGCGTCATCGTTTTCGCAACTTACGACACTGCTTACAACGCCACCAATCTTGGCTCACTTTGATCCATTAGCCCCAACCGAGGTTCACACGGACGCCAGTGGACACGGCATAGGAGCTGTGCTATTGCAGCAACAACGCGGACACGACCGTGTTATAGCCTACGCAAGTCGACTACTATCTCCAGCCGAGCGCAACTATTCCATCACGGAGCGCGAGTGCCTCGCCCTTGTATGGGCAGTCGCCAAGTTTCGCCCATACCTGTACGGGCGCTCATTCCGTGTTGTCACGGATCATCGCGCGCTCTGCTGGCTAGCCTCCCTGAAGGACCCCACGGGACATCTCGCTCATTGGGCTCTACGCCTTCAAGAGTACACGTTCTCTGTAATGTACAAAACAGGGCGATTACATCAGGATGCGGATTGTTTATCCCGCTACCCTGTTGACGAAGCAACCGATACCGACGCTATCACGGACGTTTTTTCTGTGTCGCAGCTGTTAAACATTGGCGAAGAGCAACGTCGGAATGCTTCTTTACGAGCCATCATTGACAAACTGGAGTCAACGACTCGCGACCCGTCCCTACGAATGTTTTTGGTGAAAGACAGGATCCTATATCGC